CTATTTCAGAAACAGTGAATTGTATTGTATGTGTAAGAACAGAGAAGATGCAAACATACTGGTAACAAAATGTTAGTACCTGGAAGAATCTGAATGGAAAAAAAATGGTGGGGCTGGGGATTTAGCTCAGCGGCATAAGCGCCTGCCTTGCAAGCAGGCAGTCGTGAGTTCGATCCCTGGTACCGATAAAAACGAAAAAGACCAAAAAAAGAAAAAAAAATGGCAGGTAACAGAATATCCTCATAGTACCAAAACATTACTCTATAGATTATCCATGAGGATACCTTTTCTTTTTTTTTTTTTTTTTTTTTTTTTGCTACCAGGGATCAAACTCATGACCTTACAAATTACCAGGTAGGTACCATGCTGTTGAGCTATATCCCTGTTCCGGTAAGGACATTCACGATAGAAAGATCTAGCAATTATTGCCTTGATCAAGTAATCAATTCCCAACAATGAAAAGGCCATTTATACATGTTATAAATGGAATAATATAAAACCTACATCACCTATAATTAGTCTTTCAAAAAATTTAACCTGAAGCTAATCAAACCTATAGTCTTGACTTTTAATTCCAAGAAAACACAAATAGACTGATAAGCCAAACACAGATCATAGACAAACACAGATATTAAAGAGCAGCAGTCAAGTAACTTAGATTCTTCAAAAGTCCTATCTTAAGTAAAAAAAGTATTAGAGTACAGGGAGGGATTTTTTATTTATTTTGTTTTTGATACCAGGAATCAACTCAGGCCTCATGCATGCCAGGCAGGCATTCGGCCACTGAGCTATATCCCCAGGCCCAGGAAGGGATCTTTTAGACTAAAAAAGATAATCAAATGTAAGGCACAAAATTCAACTATATCATTAAAAACAAACAAGTTGGTCATATTTGCTGGTGCATACCTGTAATCCAAGCACTCAGGAGACTGAAGCCAGCCTGGGATACATATCAAGACCCTGTCCTAAAAAAAAGGCGGGGTGGGAGTTGGGGCCAGGGATATAGCTCAGGGGCACAAGTGTATGCCTCGCTAGTAGGAGGCCCTGAGTTGATTTCTGTGACCAAAAAAAAGGCAAAAAAATCTGTAAAAATATTATTTGAGACTACAAATACTCAAATATAAACTTAGATAATGCACTCTGAATTTATTTAAAATTTCATTTAGGATGACAGTATCAAGGTTAACCCATTAGCGAAATGTCCTTATTTATAGGATATTCCTGCTGAAATATGTAGCGGACAGTGTCCCAACTGAGATAAAACTTTCAAAGTATAAATGATTGTTGAATTTAAGTAGTATGTTGTTCTCTTTAATATATGTTTCAAAATCAAAAGTTGGAGAAAAAATTTTTTTCTTTTTTCTTTTTTTTTTTTTTGTTTTGTTTTGAGACAGGGTCTCTCCACATAATGTGGGCTGGCCTTGAATTTGCTGACGTAGCCCAGACTGGCCTTGGCAAGTGCTGGGATTACAGACTTGCACTACCATACCTGGCTAGTTGAAGAAAATTTAAATTAAAGTTTTTAGTTAGGTATGGTAACTCAGGCCTGTGATCCCAGCTATTCATGAAGCTAAGGGACAAAGATTATGAGTCTGAGGCTGGCCTAGGGAACTTAGTGAGACACTGTCTCAAAATAAAATAAAAAGGTCTGGGGATGTAGAGCACTAATAGAGCATTTACCTTGCATGCACAAGGACCTGGGTTCAATCCCCAGTAGAGCATGTGTGCACATACAAGCAAACACAGAGTTCTTTAATATCATATGCAAATGTTAAAAACACAAGTATGATTTAACAAAACTTTTTCCATACTCTGCATTTAAAGTACATTTAACAAAAATGCATTTTCAGATTACCTCAAAACAATGTAACAACATTCATCTCTTTGGGGGAGGCATTTTGAGAAAGGGTCTCACTATACAGTTTAGGCTTATCTTGAACTATGTATCGCAGGCTGGCCTTGAACTTGTGGCAATTCGCCTTGATCTTCCTGCATCAGCTCCTGGAGTGCTGAAATTACAGGCATATACTACCACGCCCAGCCATTCATTCAACTTTCTGTGTGTTCTACTGTGGATCAGAAGACAGTAGATACATCTAGGGTAAACTATATTTCTAAAAGACCACTACATTAGTTTTTCTAAAAGTCATTACTTCCAACATTTTAGAAATCCTAAGTGAATAAATGAGCACAAATACATATATGAAAGCCAGTGGATACATTGATCCTACCACACAGAGAGCTGACACACTCTCATGAGGATGATTAGAAATGTGGACCTAATGATAGTGCAGTTCTGTGAGCGAAGGAAATAACCAGCATCAGCTCTTATGTACAGCTCTTCTTTAAACTGCTAATGGTTAATAGCTAATTTAAAATTTGTTCAAAAATTATATATTAACATCTACTTTAGATAAGAGATTATAAACCTTTTTGGGCCTTTAAAGTTGTTTTCTTTTGTTTTTGAGACAGGATGTTGCTGTGGAACACAGGCTGACTTGAATTCACAGTGATGCTGCCTCAGCCTCGAAAGAGCTGGGATTACAGGGAGTGTGCTACCATGCCAGCTGTTTTTTTTTTGAGACTGTGCACTTGTGAGACTGGGTCTCATTTTGTAGTTTCAAATTCACTATGTAGCTCAGGCTGGCCTCAAATTCCAGGTGGCCTTCTTGTTTCAGCCTCTGAAGTGCTAGGATTATAGCTTTTTTTTTTTTTTTTTTTTTTTAAAGACAGGCCAGTTTCCTGGTTGGCCTTGAAATCCTGATCTTGAGTCATCCTCCCATCTCACTTGAGTAGTGTGAACTACAGGCACATCCCTATGCCCATCCCTTAACTCAAATGTTAAATTGGCATTTTCAAATATGAAGCCTTGGGCCGGAGATTTAACTCAGTGGCACGAGAGCTTGTCCAGCAAGTGCAAGATCATGAGTTCGATCCATGGTACAAAAAAACAAAACAAAACAAAAACTACAGCCTTTGGCCAGGTATGGTAGTTGCACACGTGTAATCCCAGCACTCAAGATGCTGGGATATGGGGCCCTCAGCAAGTCTGACATCAATCTGGACTATACAGTGAACTCAAGGCCAGCCTGGATTATACAGCAGGAGCATACGTCAAACAAAAATTGTGGCTTACTAAAGTTATTCAACATCAGAACTGAGAACTAAATGACCATACTATGCTATGTATATAACAATAATATATTCTACTTAACGCAATATCTGATCATGTTTTTTTACCCTAGATTCATGCAATATTCAGAAACACAGAATTTCTAAAATTAAAAATGACAATGTGTAAGTTGAAAGTCTTTATAAATAAGAATTGTACACAAGTCACAGTGGTATACACCTGTAATTTCAGTTACTTAGGAGACTGAGGCAGGACTATGAGTTCCAGGATCCTGGGCAGTTAAGCCAAGACCGGTCTTAAGATACTCACTAAAAAGCTGACCTATATTGAACCACTGGGGCCTGATGTCAGCATCTCTTGTTCAAACACTTGGGCGAAGAGTCAGTCAACCAAGCCATGTAAATAAAAATGTGACATGGAAGCTTGGGTGAGCTTCCTGTGCACAGTCATGCTGATGTGCATGACTGAAGAACACTGAAAGCTCCAAGTCCAGTGCCTGCCAGACACTACGATGTATGTTTCTTCCTTTGCCTGTTTCTAATCTGTGTCTGTTGTCCCTGTTACAAATGTGTCTTGGAATATAACTGCTAACTTTTTAGCTCTTTCTAGCAAATATCAAACCTAAGAGTAACTTTGAGAAACCCTGAACTAGCAATCACCGAGACACACTCCACTACAGAAGTAATTTGCTTCTTCCTTGACCTCTTCTGGAATTAATGTAGAATTGTTTTAGCTGAGTGTGGTTCAAGGCCTGCCTGGGCTGCGTTACCTAGTGAATTCAAGACTGGCCTGAAATACAGAATGAGACCCTCTCTGAAAAACAACAAACAAAAAGTACTCAGTCCTCGTTTAAATAATTATCTGTTAAGAACAGTAATAAAGATGTGAGATGACAGACCAAAATGATTACTAATGCTGGTCTCTGTTCAAATGTTAACAGTTACAAGATTAGCCAGGCATGGTGGCTCACACTTGTAATCCTAGCACTCGGGAGGCTGAAGCAGGAAGAAGGTTGTGAGTTCAAGACTAGCCTCGGCTACAAAGTGAGCTCAAGGCCAGCCTGAACTGCATAGAGAGACCCTGTCTCAAAAAAACAAAACAACAACAACAAAAAAATAGTTACAAGATTATTCTATACTTAAATTTGAGAATTGTATTATATTTTCAACAAAAGTATTCTATACAAAAAATTACACATCAAAGATTCCCAGTTAATGGTTTTGATGAGAAATTACTAAAAAAAAAAAAAAAAAAGTATACATTTTAAAAATGCTGATGCCAGGGATGGTGATGCACACCTATAATTCTGAGTTTAAGGCCAGCCTGAACTATATAGTGAGACTTTGTCTAAAAAATAAACAAACAAAAAGGCTGATATTAGGCCCAGGGATTTAGCTCAGTGGCATAAGCGCCTGCCTGGCAAGCGCAAGGTTGTGGGTTCAAACTCCGGTACTGCAAAAAAAAAAAAAAAAAAAAAAAAAAAAGCTGCTATTGTTTACTTTTGTTTTTGTTTCCTCCTGCCTCAGCCTCCCAACTGCTGGTACTACAGGTATATATCGCCATGCCTGGCCTGTTTTGTTTTTTGAGAAAGGTACTTACTTTGCACCCCATGATGACCTCACACTTACCATCTTGCCTCAGATTACCCAACTGCTGGGATTATAGGCATGCACCACCACACAAAGCAAAAAACTGCCAATATTCTTACTTAGAGATCTTTTAAAACAAAGCATGTTGTATAAAGTTTCAACAGTAGAGGTAGAAATAAAATTCCATAGGTTGCATGTTACATTGGATCTTTATGCATTGAACTGATAGTCACAACAGAAATAATTATATTCAAATCATGGAAACAATGTATAAGGAATTATTGTACCTAATTGTGAAGCTACTAGAGAAATATTTTATTTAAAATAAAATATGGTTAGGCAATTACTATCATACAGATAGATAAATTCTAACTAGTTTAAATAAAACCCAGTCTTTCATGCTGGAGCACAGACTAAAAAGGACAATCAAACATGAGAAAAAAATTAAACAGAGGTAAAGACCAGCAATTCATTTTGATATGAGTAAGCCACAGATACAAATAAAAAGGAAAACAAGAAAAGGTAAGAAAAAGCTATATAGAATTATTTTTAAAAATAATATATTTCAATAATCTATTAAATAGATAATGGATATCAAGACAAGAGAAACATATTAATTAAAAAGTGACTTATCAAAAGACCAGTTTATACATTCCTTTGTATTATATCCATAAAAATTTAAATATACAAAAAAATTTAAATATACAAATCTCATTCCCAAATTCAAAAGTATCTTTCTACACAATGCAATACAGACACAGACAAATTCAGGATCTAAATCATTCAAAAATATTTTTTAAATTACAGTAACTACATCATAAGAAAAGAAATGACAATTACATACAACTAAAAAGTTGAACGATAGTACAAAGGTGCCATAATTAATTAAATGAGTACTATTTACTAATGCTTTTACAGAATACCCTTTTCACTTTTTGGGTAATAGATTTAAACAGCAAATTTTGAAACCATAAAAGAAAACAAAAGAATTATAATCATTTTTTTTGGGGGGGGGGACTAGCAATTGAACTCAGGACCTTGTACTTGCAAGGCAGGCGCTGTGCCACCGAGCTATATCCCTGACTCTAATTAATCTTGAAATTAATTTTGCTGATGTGTTCTAACATTGTGAATTACGAAATGTCCTCCAGAAAAGTCGGGTATTTGGTAAAGCAAGGCACATAGGACCAGATTTTTTTTTTTTCTTGGTCGTTTTCCTTTTTATCGGTACCAGGGATCGAACTCACGACTGCCTGCTTGCAAGGCAGGCGCTTATGTCGCTGAGCTAAATCCCCAGCCCCTTAGGACCAGATTTTGATAAAAGTGCTCTATCTTTGGCCCTACAACTATTTTGAATATCCTGGAGGTTTTTAAGATGACTTTCAATATACTGTACGTAACTTTTATAAACCTTTTCTTACATAAAGCATACAGAGCACAGTAATTAAATGTTTACAGTGAACGTTTAAATGAGTGATACTAAACTTTTTCTTTAAAAAAACTGTACAATGACATTTTAAAAGTTCAATAATTCAATATGTAAAAACATTCACAATAAAAAAATTCACAATAATACTAAGTGTGCAGATGAAAATGTCAATGAGTTTCCTTCCAAATTCTGATACTAGACTCAAGTTTAAATATTGAACTGCCTTTACTTTCTACAAAATTTTGTGACATTCAAAATAAACTGATGTAAACATTTAAATTTTGCATCTCTAAACTATACAATCCATATATAAGTAGCTTACAATTTCTCTAAAATCACTTATTAAAGAATCAATACTATTATGTCTTGAAACATCTATCTGCTATATTTCAAACCTTACATTACCATATTCGTAAGTTTTAATAGAATTTATCAACTGGCACTCTTCTCATTGAACAAAGTAGTTAAGAGGTAACAAATTCAGTCTTAAAAGCATGGAAATGTAAAGAATCAAAATGTCCCTGTTACAAAACCTTGATATAATAAGACCTTTGAAGGCCATCAAAACACAAACCACTTACATAAAATGGCATTATCTGTATATGTATGACCCAAGAACATGAATTTACCTTCTCAAACATGAGAATCTCCTGATGAATTAAAATTTAGAATCTATGTAGCCCAGGAACAATTTCAAACCTACTAAAAAAGTAAAATATAAATTATACCTAATGAAAATCTGTTTTGTTTTGTTTCTTTTTTTGTCTTTTTCATTTTTATCGGTACCGGGGATCGAACTCACGACCGCCTGCTTGCAAGGCAGGTGCTTATGCCGCTGAGCTAAACCCCCAGCCCCTGAAAATCTGCTTTGAAAATAAACTTTAGATTATTTTGCCCATTTTTGCAATTCTTAATTATATTTTTATAATCCTAATTTGGAATCTTGAAAATTGGACACCTGAAAATGTTATCACTTTAACATACCTAATGTTCAGTAATTGCAAATACTATAACCAAATTAACAAAGGAGTATACATGGCATTAATACATAATTTCCCCAATTCAGCTCAATGTGAGCTGAATATATTTATTTTTAGTCTTGAATTCTGTGTACTTATAAAATTTAATTTCAATTAGTACGAAATAGGATGTAAGCCTGAATGTTGCTATAGTCTTAAAAATACCATGTTCAAAATGAGGTAAAGTTATTAAACAAAATATTCTAAAACATAGTCAGTGAAAATCTCAACTCTGGCATCCAGAAAATTTGCTTGGTGCCCTTTTGTTATCATCAGCAAATTGATTTTATTTTTATTTTTGGTACCAGGGATTGGACTCACGACTGTGCGCTTGCAAGGCAGGCACTTATGCCGCTGAGCTAAATCCCCAGCCCCAGCAAATTGATTTTAAATAACTTGTAATCTTCAGCAGTTTAAAACCCTGGATGAAGTTTATCAGACCTATAATCTGTAGGCTATGTTTGCATTATCAAGGTAATGCACAGTCCAAATTAGCCAAGAGTTCCCAACAGCTTGTGGTGACAGTATTTGTGTCTGTGTGTGTGTGCTACCAAGAATTGAACTTCAGACTTTGCACTTGCCAAGCAGAAGCTGTGCCACTGAGCCATACTCCTAGCCCCCAACAGCAGTGTTTTTGAGTCAAATTCTACTTAACAAAATCCATTAGAACTATATAAAAATATTTATTTTTAGTCTTTTTATTAGAAGTCTTAAAAAATATATACAATATAAATGAAAAAATAAAATACTTCTTATACTCAATAGGTGATTCTGTATATAGTTCATAATTAAATTAAACCTATATCCCAATTATAGAAAGCACATTTGCCCACTAATTCATCTTACTATTTCTAATATATTCCCTCTCCTTTGAACCAACTTATTAAATAATTCATGTGATTTGTATTCTCAATTCCAGTGTTAAAAAAGGAGAAAAAATCCACTATTTTAAAGTAAAATGGTGGTTCCCTTTCAGCAGCTTTATGGCAATATAGGGAATCCAGAATTCAGCTGCCTTTCCCAATCACAAGGGCCCCATATTACTGAGGACAACAGGCTTATGAGAGATCTAAAAGTTCTTTTGACCAGACTTAAAAAGTTTTTAAATTTCATATTGCTATTTAGCAATGTAATATGTCAATAAGGAATGTTAACAAGAAAAGTCAATTTTGGTCTTGGTCCCCTCTTTTTTTTTTTTTTTTTTTTGAGAAAAGGTCTTGAGGTGTAGTCCTTAGTCCTTAAACTCACTATGCAACCCAGGCTGGCTGCAAACTTGCAGCAATCTTCCTGCCTCAACTCCCAAGTGCATGCACTACCACACTTGACTATTCTTGATCCACACTTAGCAGTACTACTATTTGTTTAGTTGTTTTTTGTTGTTGTTATTTTTGTTTTTTGCTTTTTGTCTTTTTCGTTTTTATCAGTACCGGGGATCGAACTCACGACTGCCTGCTTGCAAGGCAGGCGCTTATGCTGCTGAGCTAAATCCCCAGCCCAGTTGGCTTTTTTAAATAGTTGTAGAGTAAAAGAAATTTCTATAGCTCAATGAGCAAAATATTTGTTTATAAATTTTCTCGTTGTATATGGTATATGCTCAGTATTTCCAAATGGAGATACTAGATAATAGCGACTATTTTAAATTAATACATGAGTATTTAACCCAATTCGATTAATTTTAAAACTTTAATGGCAATTAACACATACAAACTTAACGTAGTATTAGGGTTTTATCTCATTATAGATAAGAAATGCAATTAAGTAAGAAATTAAGGGTAAAATTCCATTACTGTAAAGTCTTCGGCCACTATAGAGCAAGGAACAACTGGATTATTTTTAGCTGTTGCAAAGTACTAAAAGGTCTTTGGATATATGTTGAGAAACCAATGTCGCTCTACTAAATTTAAATATGAATTTTATTCTGACAAACAAGACCCAGAATATTATTTTATCAAATTTTACATAATTAAACAAACAATATTTAACAATCCTAAACTGAATAATCTTTTGTATAAATATAAAAATCTCAGATATGTGAAAATGTTTTTCAAACCATAGTTGTTTTCACAGTTTTATAGGTAATTATGATTTTCAAATTTTTAATATCCCATGTGATGATATATTTTTACAGAAAGTAAGATAAAAACATTTAATAAGAGTAAATACATCTAATTTGCAAAAATTTGTATCTGACATTTGTGTGCTCTTACAAAGAATGCATAGGACATTTCTGCAGCAATCAGAAAGGTAGATTCTTTTTAAACTCAGATTTCAAGTTTCCTCCAATATTTCTTCTAATTTTAATTCCTGGAAATACTTTCAAGTTTTGAATCCTAGATGTAATGTGTTTTGTTACATATGCAGTACATGCTTTATGCTTAAGCATGTATAGTTTTCAGACCTTTGAACACTATGATCAGATTCAGGATGGTAGTATCTTCAGAAAATCTGCAGATGTTCTTCATGGAAGATTCATGTTGAGATTCCTAGTGCACCATCACAAAAACCAGTAAAAGACAGTACATGACTATGCCTTAGTAGGATTTCCTGAAGGCTTGGGATCGTAACCGTATAAAAAAGTAGCTGTTATTACAAGGATGGCTCCAAGGAAAAAGACACTAAATAAAATGAAAGAAAGACCAAAAAGATGAAAATCAGAATAAAGATAAAACAAATATTTCTATATCTTTATTAAAACATTTATACTAGGGAAAGGGTATGTTCCAGTAAAACAGATGACAAATAGAAAACATACTAGGATTTTTTTGTCTTTGTTTTTGGAAACAAAGTCTCCCTATGCAGGTCAGGCTGACCTTGAACTCACTATGTAGTAATCTTTCTGCCTCAGCCTCCCAAGTGCTGGGATTAGGCCTGTACCACGCATGACTGGCTACATTCTAGGTATTCAGATGCTTTACATGCATTATCTCAGTTCTCAGACTGGGCTCTATTAAGAAGTACTAATATTAGCTTCATTTTTACTTAAGATGAAGCAAGTTTACAGTTTAAATAGACGCCTAAAATTGCACAAGGTTAAATGGAAAACAGGATTCCAATCTAGGTGCATCTGCCTAGAGCCTGCACTCTTAATCTACTGTTCTACGTCTCCAAAACAAATACTTAAAATGCTTTATTTCACTTTAATATGGGCTTTGCATGCAACCTATTCAATGATAAAAGATCTCAATTCTTTATTTGAAAATATAAAAGGAAAGTTTCATTCTTTTATGTCAAATCCCAATAAAATCAATTTTAAAATCCAAGGTAATATCCAAGGCTCTGAATTGACTTTCATAGGATGCTTAATAGAAGGAAATTAGATTAACTGCAGGGAGCTTACATACTGGTTTTTCTTTTTTGATCTATCTATAGCTATAATCTACCCCATATCAGTTGGAAATGAACTTAAACTGGATGTAAATGAAACTACCAAACTTTTAATTTGCATACTTTTTGAGACTCACACATAGTGATCTTCCTGCCTCAAGTCTCCTTAGTGCTGGGATAACAGGCCCCACACCAACTGAATACTTTTTAAATGCTGTTACTGAGACATACATCAATGTTGGTTCTAAAGTTTATATTAACAGTTCAAAGTCATTCTTCTGATCTTAAAAAAAAAACAACTATGATGAAAGCAAAGATCCTTTTTAAGATATCAAAGACCTTTCATAATGATTCCTTTAACCCCATTCTCCCAGATTTCTCCTCATCAAACTGTCAGTCATTCACTCTGTCATGCTCTATCATGACAGTGTCTTCAGACAGACATACTCTCAAGTCTACAATTTCCTTTCCTCAAGAAAAATGTTCATAACAATTCACGGCAGGTGTGGTTGAGGACTTCCTGGGCTATAAAGTGAGCTCAAGGCCAGCCTTAACTGCATAGTAAGAGACCCTGTCTCAAAAAGCACCCCCACCCAATTATACCCCATAATTTAGTTCTACTGTCTATAAGACTCATTCCCCTAGGCAGAGTTACACTATTACATTACTTATCACAATGCTATTAAATAATGAATTATTCATTTATCTGCTTTCCTTTTCAACCATGTGCTATTCATTTACTGTTATACTACCAGTGACTAGAATATACACTTAGCTCAATGATAGCTATGATTAATAGCAAGTATTGAGGTAAGTGGATAACTTTTCAGAGGCTTTATACAGTTATATACTTCCAAAATTAAAGTAACATAAAGCCTTCTATAATATATCTTGAGATTACTACTGAAAAATATTAGATAATTTTTTAGAGTTTGGGTAAACTACTGTCTGAATACTTTATTAATGTTCATGACCTTTTCTTAGCTTTCCAGAGCTCTGGAACTACACAAACTAAGAGTTGTGCTTAACTTTCTACCCTTCTATGATACCTCTACCAGGATCTACTTGAATGTTGAATAATATCAGGAAACCACTGCATTTTTAGGTGACTATGAGGGAAAATTTTCTGTTAGAAAAATACTATCAGATTAATGATAATTACAAGGATGTGAGCCTTCTTTCTCTAACAAAACTATATATATACTTTCACAGCTGCACTGATCACTTATTCACCTGTCTGTAACCTCTCTGGAAACAAGGAACTGTGGCTCATTCATTCAATTCTTTGTTCCAAAATCTAGTACAGGAACTTGAATGGTAGGTACTTAATAAATTTGTGCTTAAAAAAACAAGAAGGCTATGTGAGTCATGTTAAGATCAGTAAGTAAAATAAGAAGTACAAGAAACATAAATTAGAAAAGTGAGTGTATCTGCGATATGATATTGGTAGGAGCAAATTAGAGATACGATATCAACAAAGATGCCTGGCAGTACAAAGAAAATAGAGATCCACTAGAGAAGGCTGTGGACGTAACTAACTGGTAGAGTACTTAGCAGACATGAGACCATGAGTTTAATTCTCAGTACTGACAAAGTGGGGGATCTAGAGTTTAGGTGAAATTGAGTCTTATTTTCACACACCACAGATAAAACAGAGCAAAAGGACTCTCCAAAAAGAGAGTCAGAATGATAGGTAGAGGCATATCATTTCAGAGAAGCCAAATAAGTTTTAGGAGGTGGAATGGGGATAATAAAAGAAATTACTTTAATACATGTGAAATAGATCTGAATGAAGATTGGGAAAATTTGTTACTTAAGACAAAGCATTTATTTACCTATTTTAGAGAAAACTCAATTTTCTGATCCTTTACTGATTACTTTTTCATTTACTACATTTACATTTCCCTGCATGATTCAAAAATTAAAAGTTTGTTACTTTGATCTATATGAAGTTTAATTTTTTCCCTTTTTTTGGAAATGCTATGACTTTTTAAGTAAACCTCAAGGATGTGTAAGTTCCAAATATTCTCAATATTAAGGCATATAGTTTCCCCACCTAATAAACAGAGAATAAAGCATCATTAAGACATTAGGCGTTAATTGTTAGAATAGTTTTAATAGCTAAATGACTCATTCCTATACCAAGCTGGGAAAAAAAGTACTTTCAAATTTTTGTTTCAGAAAAAGTATAGATCTCAGCATGCATGTCCCACACCTGCTGTTCAGGTTGCTAGAAGAGGATTAAAATTATAATGTTCAATACAAAAATATAAAGGACATATTTTTCTATTGCCAAATTCTATGTATAATCCTATCTCTAACAATGTAAATAAATTTTACAAGCTATATTAAAATGTTAAGACATTCATCCAACAAACATATTCAGTATATAGTGTATACTAAATACCAGCTCTGCTTGTTTCTTTCTTTCTTTTTTTTTTTTTTGAAACAGTATGTCACTATGTAGCCCAGCCTGGCTTCAAACTGGAGATTACATGCTTCAGCCTCCATGCTTGTCTCTATCCCTTCTTTCTTATCTAGTAAATCTTCTGAAGAAGGGGAAAAAAGGTTTGAATGGTAGAAGGTATTTTTTAATTTAAAAAGTAATGGCAGTCTGGCATGGTGGCACAAGCCTGTAATCCCAGCACTCAGGAGGCTGAGACAGAAAGATTGCCTTGAGTTTGAGGCTGGCCTGGGCTTCACAATGAGTTCAAGACCAGTACAAATTACACAACAAGACACTCTCAAAAAAATTAAAAAAAGAAAACAAGAAAAAGAAGTAATGTCATGTGAATGTAGGAGATGAGATCCAAGATGAAAGGTAAATCAAAGCCCTTGACAAAGAAGTCACTGTAGTTCATTTCTTCCTTCTTCCCTTCCTCCCTCTCTTTTTTCACTACTAAGGATTGAACCCACGGCCTTTGAACAAGCTATATCCCATCCTTACCCTACCCTACTCCCTTTTTATGATAGGATTTTTGCTAAATTTGAGCCAAGACGAACTTGAATTTATGATCTACTTGCCTCAGCCTCTCAGTGAGCTAGGATTACAGGTATGGATGGGTCACCAAGTCTGATTTCACTCTAGCTTTAAAATAACACGAAGAAGAAAGTAATACTAGATGAGTACAGTGAAGTAGATGAGGGCCAAGTCAATAACCCATTAACCTTTTCAACTTAGGAGATGGGAAGCAATTAAGAGGACTTCTGAGCATAGTAGTGATATATTTGATTTATATTGAAAATAAAATCGTTCTGGTGGTTGAACAGAAGACTGAGGATGCAAAGGCAAGAGAAGAAACAAGTAATCAAGTCAGAAAACCATTTCCTTAACTCATTCATAATAAGAATGAGGGTAGCTTGAAACAAGGTGGTAGCAGTGGCGGCTGTAAAAAATGCTCTGATTCTAGAGATATTAAAAAGGAAGGGTTGACAAAATTTGTTTCTGCATTAAAAACAATTAACTAGGGGTTGGGGATTTAGCTCAGCGGCATAAGCACCTGCCTTGCAAGCAGGCGGTCGTGAGTTCAATCCCTGGTACCGTTAAAAAGTAAAAAAAAAACCAATTAACTGATGGCCTAACTTTTTACTCCACCTCAGAAAATTCAGAAGTTCCACACACTTAAGAACCTCCCATAGGGCTGGGGATTTAGCTCAGTGGCGTAAGCAACTTCTTTGCAAGCACGTAGTCGTGAGTTCGATCCCCAGTACCAAAAAAAAAAAAAAAAAAAAAAAGAACTTCCCGTTGTATAACAGTATTTATAAATACTGCTTTCCTTCAGTGAATGTGAATAAACTGTGTTCTTCTCTGAGTCATGGAGGGTTTGAGCCTGAGCCACTGGAAGAATGAAGGTGCTCCATTTACCAAATTAGGAAACCCAGCCAAGAGTAGGGAATGAGTATCTAGTGAACTTCAGAGTGAAAAGGTTGAGCAGGCAACTAGATGCACAAGCCTCAAATTCAAAATAAAGTGAAACTGAACAAGATAAGACTCCAAAGTTTAGAGGTAAAGAAAATCAGGAAGAGAGTGAGTTCGAAGAAAACTAAAAACGTTGTCCTGAAAGGTAATCCAGTTAGTTTGGGATTATAAATTAGTATGCAATTATAAATTAGTACACAAAAATTCATACAGCCTTCAATACCAGCTGTCATGAGTACTCATCACACTGAATTTTTCCTAAGGCTGCTTCCTTCCTTGATATCCGTGATACCAGAGAGCCCTGGGTCTCCTGCCTTACCTCTCACTACTCCTCTTACTGTTCCTTCCCAAATTGCTCTTTTGCCTGCTTATTGAATTGAGCTTCTCTTGAGCCACCTTCTCTTTATAAATTATCTTCAAGAATGTCATCTACTCTCCTGGATTTAGTTAAAATGGCATGATTTATTTTATGGTTTTCTGACTTACAAAAATTTAATATGACTTTTTTACTTCAAGAGAAAAACATTCAGACATTTTAGGAAATTCTGGCCATCCAAATTTTTGTGTGTTTGTTTGGTTTTGGTTTTTTGAGTTAGGGTTTTCCTATGTAGTGGATACTGGCCCTGAACTCAATGTATAGCCCAGACTGGCCTCAAACTTGTAGTGATCCTCCTACTTCAGTCCCTTGAAGGTCAGAATTACACACATGTGCCACCACACCCAGTGGCATTAAAATTTGTACAAAAAGTTTCTGTAGAAAATTTTCCCTCAATGTATTTAGTTTGAGGTATTTATTTTAAAAGATAGTTAAATGAATTTTAAAACACAATTTCAATGATTTCTTAAAGTTGTAACAGGATAACTATAAGAAGAATTCTTACTTTTCAATATACTTATGGAGATTTAAAGAAATAAGAAATACTTTACCTGGTTGGCACAAAATCCTGTAGCCAAAAATAAGATATCAGTGTTGATAATATTATGGACAAAGAGGTTGCAAATCCTTTTAAAATATTATCCGCATACTTAATCACAGCTGCTACAACAAGGCCTCCAAGTGCCTGTAAAAGTTTTAAGAGGTTATTTTTTACTACTCATGAAGCTTTAGGCTTTCTCTATAAACTTAATCTCATTATGGTAAGTGACTTACGTCAAGCATCTCTTATTTCCACTAGATTTGCAGGTTTGGTTCAACAGAGCACTCTTATTTCAAAAGGTATCTAATAAACTATCAAAAGTTTGCATGAAGTTTGATCATACTATTAGCAGAGGAAAATCAAAATACAATCTTCAGCTTTACTTGTTCTTGGTCAATTTATTCATTTTGGAGCGCACATTTCTGGGCAATATATAAATTTCTTTCTAGCTTTGCGATAACACCCCTGATACGTGATGTTATAATAGTTGCCTAGGTTACTTTTCAGGGATTTGAAAGCCACTTTTGCTGTAAATACTGACTCATCAGTAGGGTCTGTAGATAGGTGATGGGTGACCAAAATAGGGCCAGAATGGGATGAAGATGTTTGGCTTCTCTTCGCAGACTGTTCCCACGGTGTTACCATGACCTCTGAATCAGATTCTACTCAGCTTTGCATGTAGACACACGGATTATTTGCAAAACATTTTTCCCAGAACTATAATTTAGGCTCAATTTGACCAAGACTTGTCTAATATCTTCCAACTCCCTTGAGAAGTAAAGACACCTATTAGCCACATGACCAGAAGCATCAAACTATAAAATGATGAAAAGATAGTACCAAAATCCTGGAAGAGCACCTATTCTAAAACATGCATATTCTTCCCACCAATTATCCTATTTCTCTCATCATTCCTATCCTGTATCTACAACCCTCTATCCCTCTGGAGTTGAGAAGCTCATTTGTGAGCAAAGCTCCCTCTTTCTCTTTCTTTGGACATGAATAAAACTTTCTTTTCTCTCCAACACACTGGTTTTTCAAAGGGATAGCTTCTAGACCTGCACTTGGTAATAATATTATGATTCTTAAAAATGTATGCTTACCCAAATTAGCAATTAAACATCACTTGTTTGGACAAAAGTGAGAAAACTAGTTACTGAATACAGAAACAGTATAACTTTTGAGTAAAAATTAATTCGAAGTGTATGGGTTAAAAACAAATAAACAAACAAACGTATGGGTTTTTTTCTATTTCTGTTTTTGTCTTTGTGCTAATAGGAACTAACTCAGGGAGCACTGAGTCCTTTGTCCCTAGCCCCTTTCACTTTTCTTTCACAAGGTCTCTTCAAATTGCCCTAAATTGAACTTGTGATCCTCCTGTTTTAGCCTCCCAAGTAGCTGGAAGATTGGCAGTAGCTAGGATTACAAGCACATCCCATCACATACAGCTTTATTTTTTTTCCTCCCAGTATTAGAGACTAAGCCCAGTGCCGCCTGCATGCTAGATAAACTCTCTACCACTGAGCTGTATCTACAGCTCTCTCAAATTTTTTTACTAACTTTTCAATGGCGTCCTAACTTGGTTTTCTTCTTCTAGATTTTCTCTATTCTAATCCACTTGTCATTGTTAGGATTATGCTTCCTAAATAGTGCTCTTCCTTTTCTCTTTTTCTGTTTTAACTTTTTTTTTTTTTTTTTTTGGTGACTTGCTGATCTTGAATTTACAGTGGGATTAGTGTAATCCCAGCCTCCCATGTGCTGGGATTACAGGCCTCTGTCACTATACCCAGCTCTGTTTCTACTTTTTTAGACAGGTCTCATTTTGTAGTTCAGGCTGGCTTTAAACTCACTACTTAGCCCAGGCTGGCCTCGAACTCAGGGCAATTCTCCTGCCTCAGCTTCCCAAATGCTAGGCTTAGAGGGATGAACCTCCATGTCTCATCTTTTTTGTTCTTTTCCTTTCCCTCTTGGTACTAGGACCTCTCACATAGTAAGCAAGCACTCTTCTACTGAGTTATACTCTCAGGCCTGTACACTCTCTTTACAAGTATATAAAGAATTTTCTACCAAATCTCTCTCAAATTCCAGATTGTAGATACTTAAAAATGAGGTTTGAGGGAAGGTTAGGACATAGCTCCTACAGTACAGTACTTTCCTAGCATATCGGAGGGTCTGGGTTCAATCCCCAGCACTACAAGAGTTTACTGTAAAGTTGAGTATTCCTCATCCAATCCAACATGCTAAGCATTTTTTAAAACTGACATAATGCCACAAATGGAAAATTCCATACTTGACCTTCTATGATGGGTTACAGTCACAAAATAGCTAAGTGCACTGAAAATAATGCACTATATAAAGTTACCTTTAGATTATGTATATAAGATGTATATATATTAAAAAATCATAATTTTGTGTTTGAACTTGAGTTTCATTCCCAAGATACAACATATATATCCTAATATTCCAAAATCTAAAACACTTGAGAACAATAATTTGTATCTTTACTTTTATATCTTTTTTTTGGTACCGGGGATCGAACTCACAACCTTGGATTTGCCAGGCAGGCACTTATGCCACTGAGCTAAATCCCTGGCCCTTATTTTTATACCTTCTGGAGTACTCAAGTAAGTTTCATTGATGGTAAGAGGGCTTGATGTTTATGACAGTTTGGTTCGGTTCGGTTCAGTTTGGTTTGGTTGTATCATGGTTTAAACTCAAGGCCTTAGGCATATTAGGCAAGTGCTATACCACCAAGCTACAGCTCCAGGCCACATTATTTTTTGAGGCAGGGTCTCACGAAGTTGAAAGGTAGGCCTTATACTTGTAATCCTTCAGCCTCAGCCCCTCAAGTAACTAGGAATACAGGTAAGCACCACTACGCTTAGCACAACAGAAAAAAAATTTTTTTTTCTAAGACTAGGTCTTGCTATGTGGTTTAGGCTAGCCTTGAACTCACTATATAGATAGGCTGGCCTCAAATTTGCAATCATCCTGCCTCAGTCTCCTAAATACTGAGACTATAGACATCATCATGTTAGTTTGAAATGAGTACTTTTTTGAAAATAAAACTACTCAACTCTTGAACAACTACAAGTTGGATATAAACTGAAGAAATGTGACAACTTCAACTATGCAACTATAAAATAAATTTTAAAATTATTGCAGAATTAAATTTGCTTCTTGAGTCTTCTACCACAGACCTTTCATGTAATGATAGAAGTACAGAAAAATTAAAGTTGTGCTTGTTCTAGCTTCAACTATTTTATCCTTAAACTTGTGTTTTTACAATGTTAAGTTTAAGTACTCCAGAATTTAATCTTAACCCTTTTTCAAATCATTTTTCATAAAGGCAACAAGACCAATTCTACTTTTCACTTTCCTGGATGAACAATATAATGAGAACTAACAAGAGGGAAGTTTTTCATCTCAAATCAGTATATGAATAGCTACTTTGATTCTCTATAATAAACTGCTGTTTATTAGCATTAAAGACTTTGCACGCTTTACCTGAAGAACAACAACTATCCAGGTCAGCTGGTTATATCCCTGAAAAAATCCATTCTTTGATACCAATTCTCCGTCATACACATATACACCCATCAATCCAAATATACTCCCAAAGAAACCTAAAAAACAATTAAGTCTATGTCATATAGTTTTTCTGAAGATATTTTTATTGACATTTCAAATAATTTAATACTTTATATTTGATTTTTTAACTTGGTTACTATAAACTTTTTTCTTCTTTTTTTTTTTTTTTTCCTAAAAAGTGTCTCTTTAAGTCACAAAGTTGCCCAGGCTGAGCTCAAACTTGTAATCCTCCTGCCTGTTCAACCTCCCAGAATGCTGGGACTACTAGCATGTGCTATCATAACAGCTGGTTTACATAAATTTAACAACAAAAGTATACTTGGTACTATATTATGACTATAAGAATATAAGAAGACAAAGACATAAGAACATAAGAAAAACCAGAGATATCAACCTTTAAGCATGAATATATTGAATTAACTACGATTGCACTGTAGTCCCAACATCAATTACATAATTATATGGCTGCTCATTCAAATATTTGTAATATGCTCATTTTAACATGTCATTTTTTGTTGTATCACATCTTTCTATAGCTATGTTTAGATTTTGGTGTATTTAGTTTTATATATGCACATATAAAAGATCACATATATGACAGCACTGTTTTGTACTTAGACATTTTAAATGCACAATAATCAATATAGAAAAAAATTAGGGCTGAGAAAAAGTCAGATAACTGCAAGCCATCAGAATGTGTATGGATTATTGAAGTTTTGTTAGGGCAAGTCAGCTCAGTGAATGCAAAAGACTATTTGTTCATTGCTGAAATCTGGATAGTATAGCCTATCCCAATACTACCTAAGAAATTTCCAAGAATACTGCTAGAGACAAGCATCTACAGGACTCATCTCTCTCTCTCTTTTTTTTAAAGTACATGTTTGCAATACATAATGATTACATTTCTTGTGGGGCATAGGTATATATGTATAATACATTTTAATTTTTTTTCATCCCTTTACCTGTCTTTTTTCTCCCCACCCTTCATTTCTTGGGCCATTTCTTATGGTTAGTTTTGAAATATTTGCAAAGAGAGTGAATTTTCTTTATATACAAAAGGCCTTAACTAAGCAGCTTTCTATGACAGAAAAGAACTAAAAAGAATAAAACACTATTAAAACTTTATTTATGCCTGCTCTGCCTTCTTAATGTATCTAATTTTCAATGTGGAATTAATGCTTCCAGATAATTAAAAAATCCCCCCAAACATATTGTTAAAATTTACTTTATAAGAGTAATTGATAATTACATATCTTTGTCCATCTTTCCATCCATCCGTCCATCCATCTTTCCTTCTAGATTGTCAACCAAAGGTCCAGGTTTGGTCCTCAGCTCATGACACTACTAGGAGGTGTAGAACTTTCACAAGGTGGAAACCAGTGGAAGGTCTTAGGTCACTAGGGACATACCTCTTCACTTTCCAGAAACGACATGGTGAACAGCTTTTCAACCATGTGCTTCTATCGTGACTTACTCCCTTAGCACAGGCCCAAAAGCAACACACCCAACTAAACATGGACTGAGAACTCTAAAATTGTTAGCCAAAATAAAACTGTCTTTATAAATTAGTTTTCCTGAGATACTTGTTAGTGATTTAAAAATTTTGTAGCCATTACCAATCAAGATGCAACTGGGCTGGGGATTTAGCTCAGTGGTGGAAGCACCTACCTTGCAAGCTTGAGGTCATAAGTTTGATCCCAAGTACCCAAAACAAACAAACAAACCGATCTAACAAAGTCATATCAATCTGTATTCCTAGCAACCATAGGTAATAGTTTCTGTTTTCCGACTCTCTGGCTAAGGTTTCTTATCCATTTACTAATCTTTTATAATTTGCTATTTGAAAAAGTGCTGTTATGTTGTTTTAATTTTTATTCTTGTAATATTTAGTCACCTATATTGAGTCACTTACTTAAGCATCTTTTTAAAACTTTTCAGTTGGCTTACACTTTTTCCATAAGAATAGTGCTGTCAGATCAATTCAAAGAGATCCATGAAGTACCACAGAATCAAGAATTCAGATTTTATCATCTACTTTTACCTTACAAGAAAATTTTAGCCATCTCATACAAACCTGGAATATTTCTTTTTTCTATCTGCACATTTATATAAGAAGCTGATATTAGTGCTCACAACAATGTACATGCAAGATATACACTTTAGGGGCTGAGGATTTAGCTCAGTGGCATAAGCACCTGCCTTGCAAGCACATGGTCGTGAGTTCGACCACGGTACCGATAAAAAAAAAAAAAAGATATACACTTTGTATGTGTTACCTCATTTAACCCTCATAATAACATAAAATAGGTATTATAATTAGGTACTAACTTTTATAGATGAGAAAAGGAAAAGTTCAGAGAGGTTAAGTAACTTCTCAAAAGTCACATAGGTGGTAAGTAATAAAATCAAAAGTGACTTCAAAACCAAGTGCTTAACCACTTTGCTATAGATACACTCTTTCTAATGGTAAATTAGCACCCATGTTTATAGCAGCACAATGTGTAAAAGCTAAATCTTGGAAATAACCAAAATGCCCATCACCTGCAGAATGGATGAGAAAGATGTGGTATTTTTATACAATGGAATATTACTCAGCTATAAAAAGAGTGGTCTTGAGGCTTTTATAGGTAAATGGAGGCAACTTAGGAGTATCCTCATTAAGTGAAATAAATCAGACTCACATTTATAAATATCATATTGTTTCTCTAGTGTAAAAAATAATAACCTTAAAAGAGTAGTAAGATCCAAAATGTATAACAGATATTATAATAATGAAAGGGAAAGAAAGAACTTGAAAGAACAACCTGCAGGTATATACATATAACTGAATATATGTTTAGATGTGCCAGATAGATAACCATACTAGCAAGTTTTTGATAGTTTATCAAATAGAATAGTTTGTGTTGTCATTGTTTGATTGTCTATTCATTTTTATGCTTTGATTTTATAACTTGAATAACTACTTCTAAGATAGCAATATGTAATATATCAACTAGTGATGATTTCTTAATGTTTTTTTTTGAAATTCTGTATTATATCTACCCTTTTTTCTATTTTGCTTTTTATTAAATAAAAAAATGGTAAATTAAGCTGCTTACTGAATTCAAGACTGAATCTGCCTTCTAGACAAACTGAGCAAAAGATGATTGAATTTTCCTTTAAAAATACTGAATGTTCTTATAAACAAAATGTATTTCAACAAATTTTAGAGAGAAACATAAATTCTATTGCGATAAAATAGAAGTTTGGGGTTTTTTACATTACTAGAAAATATAAAAGGATAAATCCTAATCAAATTTGGAAGGTATAGTTTAAAATATGGATCAGTCTTTAAAATATGGATCAGTTTACTGGTTAGGACTTGTAGAGAAAACCACAGGTGCCGATCTAGAGAAATAATATGATGGGAGGGTTGTAAAAAAATAAGCCCTGAAATCACAAGGACGAAGGCTTAAAATAAAAGGTGTTGATCTGCAAAAGAGTTGCTTCTCACATGGACAGTTTTATACATAGTACTATTCAACATAATATAAGCCAAAAATACTAAATGTTGAAATCCACAAGTGAGATCTAAATGTAACAATACTATAAATATTTGTTGAAAGGCAATCCTTCAATACGTGGGTTTTTAAAATTTATTTTTAAGCTAAATACTTTGAGTTAGAAAACTGCAGTGTTATTCAAGGACTAAAACACAACACTTCGAAATATAAAGGCATTTTTAGATCTGAAAAGAAATGAAAAGTTCATCACTGCCAACTTCCTTCATTTAAGTGTCTCAATCCCCTTGTCTAGGAGCAAAATATGCTATTTGCAATATCTTCTGGGAAAGAAATGACAACCAAGGATTTGATAAATTTACTAACACTCCAATGATAAGGACAAAACAAGCTATAATTTTATTTCAAATCTAAAGATCCATATTTTTCAATAAAGCATATTTTTTAAAAGGCAAAACACTGCCAGATATTTGCATCGATAGCAGATTTTAGGCAAGACTTATTTTATATGTTCATAGAAATCTGTACATACAATATAATTACCTTTAAAAATCACTCTTTAAAATATTATTAGAAAACGTTTAAAACTTACCCAGCTGAATATTTCTTATCCATACTGATTGTTTTGTTTCTTTTAAGATTTTCTCAAAATAAACTCCAGCAAAGCCACTTGAAAAACAGGCTGTGAGAACTGCCATGAGGCCCACAAATTGAGAACCAGCAGAGAGTTCTTTAGACTCAAGCTCTTGGGATTCTGAGGGCCACTGAATATAAGCAAAAATAAAGTTGATGTTTAATTTTTGTAATATTTTTCAAAATGCATAACAAAAGCTTCCACAGACCTTAACAAAAATACATATGGCACCATTTTTGGGAAATGCAGAGAAAAGATTTTGAATAAAAATCTTAGAATCATTTTTCCCCCCGCAGTAATAACATATTACTATTTTAGCTTCCGATTTCAAAAGATATCCTAAGGGATAATAAATACTTTACATTTAATTTATTACAGAGACCAATGTATTACTTTAAGATAATCCTTAAAGGCTAATTTTTTTTTTTTTTTTTTTTTTTTTTTTTGGTACTGGGGATCAAACTCGAACTCGCACTTGCCAGACAGGCACTTATGCCACTAAGCTAAATCCACAGCTTTAAAGGCTAATTTTTTAAAGACTATCATTGCAGATAGGTAGATGAAAGGATTAGAACTATATGTTCCCTTGTGTTACCTCAGCAAAAAATAGGCAACTAGAAAAAAATGTGTTAAGTCAAGTAAAATGAAGGAAAACTTTTCTAAGGAAAGAAGTCTACCAGCAAATGAAGAAAACTTTCAATACTCTTGAAAGAAAAATTTTTGGAAGGCACTCCAAGATCACCATACCAGGTAAGACACCCTATGATGTTACTGATCCACATCTAATCAACTGATACCTTACAAGTACTGTTAAATTTTCTATGAAATCTATTTTTTCACTTCTCTGAGCTGGACTTCTTTTTATTTTTGGTACCAGGAAATGAACTTATGACCTTGTGCTTGCCAGGCAGGCACTGTGCCACTCAGCCACATCTCTGGCCTGAGCTGGACTTCTTAAAGCCATTTTTCATTTTAAAAGTATCCTGTTCATTGTTACCAAAGACTTTTCAATCATGTATTCAATAACTCTTAGAATCAAAATTGGAGTGCCATGGGTGTGGTAGCACACACCTGTAATTTCAGCCCTCAGGAAGCGGAGGCAGGGGAATCATCATGAGTTCAAAGCCAGTCTGACCTAGATAGTGATTCTAGGCCAGTGTGAACTATGTAGTGAGACTCTGTCTCAAAAAAGAGAAACAAAATAAAATATCAAAATTATTCATCTTATTCAGAAATCATAAGAAAATAGTTTCAAGAAAGCTGATAAGACATTAAGAGTATATCTAATAATATTAAATGTTTTCATATCTGGTAAAAACCAGCATTGTTTTATATGCAGTCACTGTTCTCTCCCTCTCTTACTTTCTCTTTTCTTCCTGTGCATGTGATCAGGACCAAACCTAGTCTTGTGGTGTTAGGCAAGTACTCTACCACTGAGTAACACTCCAGCCCTATTTGTTTTTTTGGAGGGTGGGTATTGAGGATTGAGCCCAGCACTGTTTTTTTCTTTTGGGTGGTATCGAGGATTGAACTCACAACCAAGGCAGAAGCTTACAGGCAGGAGCTTACACTACTGAGCCAAATCCGCAACCCCCCAAGCCCAGGACTCTTACACTGAGCTGTATCTTAGACCTTTTTTATTGTGAGATAGGGTCTCACTAAGTTGCTCAAGCTAGGTTCAAACTTGCAATCCTCCTGCCTCAGCCTCCTCCCAGAGTGCTAGATTACAGGCATGTGCCACTAGTCTTGGCTCTCTTGTTACTTTATATAAGATTTTATTTTTATTTATTTCTATTCTCAGTGTCAACATAGTATTTTTTCATGGAGGGAATACTCAAAAAGTATGTCCACACTTATTTAACAATGGAACCATATTCTCTAGGCAAAATAAATAAGGTTTTGAAACACTGACAAAAATGAAAGGTAAACTTATCTTAAATATTACCTGCACACAAGCAACTCCTGTCATCAAAATTACTAGGGACAGCCACTGGTACACACCTAACTTTTTACTAAGCATAGACACAGAAAACAATGCCGTTGTAAGAATTTTCAATTGATATGTGACCTGAAAAAGAAAATAACAATATTATTATTTTTTTCTTTCCGTCTTTCTTTTAAATGGACTACTAGAAAGGTATTTTAAGTACCTGATAGGTAGCTGCATCTAGATTTGACAATGCCACATAGAGTAAATTATTCTGAAGAGTATATATCCCTGATGGAATAGCAAGCTTAAGTGTTTCCATAGGCTTATTAAGAATTTCATCATGTAGTACTCGATTCAGTGCTCTTAGACTACATTCTAGAATAAACAAGTAAAATAAGAAAAATCAATAATTAATCGAAGTAAGTGAAACATGCTTTCTTTCAAGATCTGTTTTCTAATTTGTAAACAGAGGAAATTAAGCCACATGTTATGATAGTTTTAAGTCTGAAACATACTTCTGTGATGCTAATTTTTCAAATGTTAAATATTAGAAGGGAACACATTAAGCAGAACATTATCTTCATACTCTTTCACTCCTATATATAGGATAGCCAATTTGTATCTACCTGTATACATACATGTGTGTACACGTGCATTTATGACAACCAAAAGCTCAATGCATTAATTTGTCAACCAAGTATTCTTTACCGTGGTTACGGTATAAAAATTTATATTTTTTGCATTCCTTTATCATCAGCTATTCATGGCAACTAATAATTATAAAGATACAATCAGTAAAACAAGGTAAATCAGGGAGTCATTTTGGCTGCAAACAACAGAAAACCCAACTAACACTAGCTCAATTTGTCTCACACAACATGAGTCCAAATCTAAGGCTTCCATAGTAACTCAGAGACTCAGCCTCTGTATATACATATTTAAATATACAGGTTTTTTACCTTCACAGTTTTCATCTATTTTCTGTATAATATCCTCCAAGGTCTCCAAATGAGTGCTGAACCACGAGTTCTTGTTTTAGTTAGCAAGAAGAGGGAGAAATGACAACTTTAAGGTTTCTTTCTGTGCTCTCATTAGCCTACACTACATTAGTTACCCCTACCTGCAAGGGAGTTGGAAAATCAAATCTTTTCCTTTATTTCCTCCACAACACTAACAAGAAATGGAGAAGGAAATTGTAAATAGATTTTGAACTAACCAAACTACATTATTAATCACAAAAAATGTCAAAAGAATTTTCAGAGATAAAACTCCTCAGGAAAAAAAACTGTAAGAAGCCCCATACTTTACCAACAATGGCATATTGTGGATAACTCCCTCTAATATAAACAGGAAAACTTTGATTGTGCGAAGTTTTTGTTTTTATTTTTATTTTGAGACAATCTTGCTATTTGGTCCAAGCTGGGCTTGAAGAACTAGCTATGTAGCCTAGGCTGTCCTTAAATTCACAGTCCTCTTGCTTCAGCTTCACAAACACTAGGATCACAAGAGTGCACCACAAGGCCTAGGATCAGTCCATGAAAACATTTTTCTTCTTTTCTTATTAGTTGTTTGTGTACTGAGACGAACCTCGGGGTACTCTAACAGTGAACTCTATCCAAAGCTCACCCTATCTATCTATCTATCTATGTATTCATTTGTTCTTAATTTTGAGACAGAATCGTTACTAAGATGCCCACATGGGACTCAATTTGTGATCTTCCAGATTCAGCCAACCTGGGATTATAATAGTTACAGGTAGAATATTTTCTGAAATGAAAACAATCTAAAGAGTGTTGATATCCGTTTCAAATCTCAATAAAAACATGAACTAAAATAAAAATAACAAACACTTTTTCCTAGATTTATCAGAAAAAATCTAAAACATAAGCTTATTTTTTTTAGCAGCAGCCAAGCCAGCCGAGAGAACCAGGAACAGCATCACTCTCCCATGCACCAGAAGCCAGCGCACAGGCAGGGAGACCCCCCCCTCCAAGCAACCAGCTGATTTGGAGAAATGCAGGCTGAAATGATAGCAACTGAAGTAAAGAAAAAATTCAATGCTTGTATTGTCTGATTGACCTCACAGACCTAAAGCCAGCAATCGGAGCATCTATTCAGAGGATAACAATATGCAATATTGTAACTATTGTGTGTTTCCTACTGTCTTGTTTTTGAAATTCAGTATCATTTTCATTGTTTTGTTTCATTTTATTGTTTTATTCCCTTTAAAATAAAAAAAGTTGCTTATTTAAATTTAAATCTAAAGTGATTAACGCTATCATGATTTCTTCTCTTTAGGGAAAGCTTTGTCCCACATTCCAGCCAATTCCTGATAATGTTAAACTTATTTTATAAACTAGAGGCAAGAAAATTGTATTTTATGGTTTTGATTTCTCTGATTGCTAATGAGACTGAGCTCTTTTGTTTTTAAAATAGCACTGGGGATTGAACCCAAAACCTTGCACTTGTCAGATCAGGCCTCTTCACTGACCAACCCTCTCAACCCTGGGCATCTTTTGATATAGCTGGCCAGTCAGGTTTCTTCTTCTATGAACTGCACATTTCTAGCTTTTAGTTCCTTTTCTACTGATCTATTATGTTTTCCTGAATTGTAGGGGTTGTTGTAATTCTTGGTATAAATTATTAGTGATTACATGTGATATAAATAGCTTCCAACAAATTGTGCCTTGTGACTTTACTTTATATACACACATTTTTCATTTTAAAGTTATCTCCCCAAATGATGTTTTTTCCTCTGTGGCTTATTTTTATGTTTTGTTTGAAAAGACATAATGCTAGACAGTGTTAAAATCATAAAGCTATTCTTAAATATCAGTATTTTATTCACTTGGAATTTGTTTTTGCATATGGTATATCTACTTGCACTTCAATTCACTGAAAGCTAGTCCTCCGTAATGCAGTTATTTGCATTAAAGATATCTTTGACTCAATTGCTAAGTGCAGTGGATACTTGTATTCATTTAGACCAGTGATGATGAACCGTTAGAGACCAAGTGCCCAAAACATACATATTTATCACAAAGTGCCAACATTACACTTTAAGTGGAATACATTTTAGTTTAGAAAAAATGCACAATTGGTTCACAAGTCGATAGAAAGGGCTCTGCAAGCCTGCTACAGCATGTATGCCATAGTTTTGCTGCCACTGATCTAGACCTTTTTATTTGTATTTTGAGACAGGCTCTCACTACATTATACATGGTGGGCTCAAACTTGTGATCCTCCTCTTCTTTAATCTCCCAGCACTAGATGCACCACAATGCCTGACTTGAGTCTGACCTCTAAAGAGTAGGAATGATATAGAGTTCAGTCTGTATCTTTTTTCTCATCTAGTATATATAACAGGTTAGCTCACCCAATCCTTAACATTCTGGTTCCTTTTGCAATCCTTGACTTTTTTTTGCGGGGGGGGGGGGGGGTGTACCAGGTATCAAATTCATGCCCTCACAACTTTTTTTGTGCTTGCTTGCCTGCTTTTGCAATCCTTAACTTTAAGGCAATATATAAACTGACAAACAATTCAGTTTCTTTTTTTTTTTTTTTGTCTTTTTCCTTTTTATCGGTACCGGGGATCGAACTCACGACTGCCTGCTTGCAAGGCAGGTGCTTATGCCGCTGAGCTAAATCCCCAGCCCCAAACACTTCAGTTTCACATTGATATACTCTATTTGACTTTTCAGTTTGAATGTTTTATAGTACCCCAAACTTAACAGGGCTCCTAACAGAAGCACTAAATTTCCTTTAAATCTATCTTCTATGTATCATTCATTGCAATACCCAAAAATTGAATCTAAATGCCTAGAAATTATTCCTTAAACTGGATTTTTGTCCTTTTTACTGAACTCCACATATTCTATTACCAAGTCTTGTCAAATTTAGCTCAAAATAAGATACAGAAATGGTCAACAATAGCCATTTATGGTGGCACACATGCCTGTAATCCCAGCACTCTGGAGCCTGAGGCAGGAGGATTGTTGCAAGTTTAAGACCAACCTGGGCTACGAAGTAAATTCAAGGCCAGCCTGAATGCTCAGTAAAACCTTGCCTCAAAAAAATTTTAAAAAGTCAACACATACTGGAAAGTCATCATTAGTGATTAAGAGACATTCAGGTCACAATCAGGATGAGATATCACTTCATACATATTCGACTGGTCATAATATAAAAAGAGTAAGACGGACAAGTTTTAGTGAGAATGTAGAAAAACTGGAATCTTTATACATTGCTAATGAAAATACAAAACAGTGGGGCTAGGGATTTAGCTCAGTGGTATAAGTGCCTGCCTTGCAAGCGTGTGGCTGTGAGTTCGATCCCTGGGTACCGATTGAAAAAAAAAATACAAAACAGTAAAGTTCCTATAGAAAGGTTTGACAGTTTCCTTTGCCTAAGAAGGTAAACACAGAATTACCAGAGGACTAAGCAATACTACTCTTATATGTACAAAAGAAATGAAAATACAGGGGCTGGAGGTTTAGCTCAGCGGCATAAGCGCCTGCCTTGCAAGCAGGCAGTCGTGAGTTCGACCCCCGGTACCGATAAAAAGGAAAAAGACAAAAAAAAAAAAAAAAAAAAAAAAAAGAAATGAAAATAGGGATGCAAACAGCATTACTGCTAATATATATATATGTATATAGCATTTACACAGTGAAATATTATTCAGCCATAAAAGAATTAAATTCAGGAACATGCTTCAGGATGAAGTCTTGAAAACATTATACTAAGTAAATCAGACATGAAATGATAATTATAGGATTCAACTTACATGAAATATCTAGACTAAGCAAATTCGCAGAGACAAAGTAAATTAGATGTTGTGAGGGGCTAGACATAAGGACAAATGGAGAGTTTCTGTTTGTGACTTGACATTAAAACTCATTAAAGGCTGGGGAATTAGCTCAGCAGCATAAGCGCCTGCCTGGCAAGCGAGAGGCTTCAAGTTCAATCCTCAGTACAAACAAACAATCATTAAAATGGCAAATTATGTGTCCGAGGCTGACCCATATCTAGATATACAATCCAGGCTAGAATAAAATTGGAATCCTTCTGTCTCAGCTGACCAAGAGGTAGGATTAAAGGCATGAACTATCACCAAATAAAAGTATCTTAATAAAAATGTTTAAAACATTTTAGTATTGGGCTAGGGATTTAGCTCAGCAGCATAAGCACCTGCCTTACAAGCTTGCAGTCATGGGGGCTGGGGATTTAGCTCAGCGGCATAAGTGCCTGCCTTGCAAGCAGGCAGTCGTGAGTTCGATCCCTGGTACCGACAGAAAGGAAAAAAGAACAAAAAAAAAAAAGAAAAGAAAAACAAGCTTGCAGTCATGAGTTCAATCTCCGGTACCAAAAAAAAATTTTTTTTCAGTGTTGGGCCAGGTACATACAGCTCAATGGCACAGTGCCTACCTGGCAAGTGTAAGGTCCTAAGTTTGAATTCTGATACCAAAAAAAAAAAAAAAAAAATTCAGTGTTCTTACTACTAGCTCAATTAGAAAAATGCAAGAATTCAAATGTATAGTTACCAATACGTATTTACCTATATGTAATTTAAATTAATTGCATTAATTACAAATAAAAACCTTGATACCTACTACCATCCTTGTAGACTAACAAAAGGCAGGCAGTTATCTTCAAAAGCTCAGCAAGAACCACTGCAGTAGAAGATAGATAACGAGGTCCCTCCTCTTTTAGAGTCCTAGAATAACGCATTGTTAGTACCAAACTGGTAGTCTGAAAGACCAAAATTCCCAAAGAAAAGTACTTTAGGTTGGCAGACATCATTTTATCTTCATTTGCCTGAAAAAAAAAGCAAATAAAATAAAATTACAACATACAAGAATGTCTAATAAGAGATTTCTGATTCTAGACAAGCTGGAAAAAGAACTCTTTCTTTCTAATTATCACACCCAAAACCCCTGGACAAAAGACAAATCAACCAAGACTTGATGCTGTGAAGTCTATGGGACAGAGCCTTGTAGATTATTTCCACCCTGAAGGAACAATAGAAGTAGTGATCCTTCCCCTCCCACCAGAGCTACAGCCACTGTGAAGCTGAGTGCTATTGGCTGTTCCTACTACATAAGGTGAACAGCAGCAAAAAGGCAGTACCTTTCCTCCTCCCAATGCCTCTTAATTAATACAGGAAAGAGACAGAGTCTCATAATACTCAAAATGTGCAGAATGTAACCCCAAATGAGTGTAACCATAACAAAAACCAGGGGGAAAAAATCCCAATTTGGATGAATATGGACAATCAACAGACAACGATGACAGAATTATCTGGCAAGAATTTCAAAAGAGCTATCACAAAAATATAGCAACAGGTCAGGATGTAGCTCAGCAATACAGCACCTAGCTGGCTAACGCAAGGTCCTAAGTTCAATTCCCAGGTACCAAAACACACACACACACACACACGCACAATAACAAGGATTCAAAACATACATGAAACAATTTTAGCATCACTAAGATTAAAAAAAGCACATGAGTTCTCATGTACCCCACTCCTTCAACAATAGAAAAAAATCCTTATATGTTCCTTAAAATAATTAATTCAGTATTACTACAAGTGACTGATTTTTTTTTTTCCTGCTGAGGATTGAACCCAAAGTTCCATGATTACTAACTACACACACTACTGTTACCAGATAGCCTGCTTCTAAAAAGTGGCTCACCAACTAAACATTACTAGATTCTGGCTCGTTCACCTCACTGGAGCTAGATTCCAAGTTTTTCATTTAGAACGAAGAATTAAACACAACAAGAAAAAAACAGTGGCAAAGTTTATTCAAGAAAGCAAAAGTAAAGAGTAGGAGGAAAACTGGCTCTGCAAAGTGAGCTTGGTCCAAGTAAAGAGAAAATACAGGTTAAGAGGAAAGATGAAAAACTCCAAGTTGCATCTGGGAAACAGTGTGCACACTTTTGTGGAAAGTTATGATAGCATCCCTCCTTATGACTATCTTTCTTTTATGCTGTCCGAATCTCTAGGAAACTGCAAGAACTTCTATATATGGGTTCTGAGAGGCAGTTTTGGGATCCCATGCTTAAGGCTGACTCAGATCTAGGACATCCTATTGAAAACCTGGAGTTCCAGGGAGAAGTTCACAGGCAGGGTTTTACAAACTGTTCTGTATATTCACTAGAGATCCCATATTTAACCCGTCGCACCTAATTTCCCAGCCAACTTTTCTCACAACCACTGAGATGTATACCCAAAAGACTCATATTAAATATGAAGACACAAATAAATTAAAAAATAAATGGATTAAGGTGGGTGTGGTAGCACATGCCTATAATCCCAGCATTTCAGGAAGCTGAGGCAAAAAGACAACAAATTCAAGCAGAGCCTGCACAATTTAATGGCTGACTAGGATCCAGTCCCAAAATAAAAGAAATACAAAAGGCTGAGACTGGAGCTCCCTGCAAAAGGCGCTATGTTCAATCCCCAGTCAGGGAATAAAACAGAATATAGAAAAAGACATCATCAGAAAAACAAATGAAAAATATGGAGAGACTTTTTCAGGTAGAACAGATTACCAAAGAATTAGTTTTAGACTCAAACAAGGACATTTCAAAATGATAAAAAGTAAATACTTCAGGAAGTTACAGGCACTACAAATGTGAATGTGGTGCCCTATGTGGCGACACTACTGTAACCCTGAATTTACAATGTAGTAAAGGCTACATGAAATTTGTAATAATTTCATGCCTTGGCCTCCCAAATGCTGGGATTACAGATATGCGCCACAATGCAGGGCTTCTAGAGTGTTTTAGACTATTTATATAACTACAAATAGAGTTCATACAGTTAAAGGTGACAAATTGATACCACAGCTTGTCATTTTAGGGTATGTTTCATGCTATTGTTATTATTGATTGTAGTACTTTAGCAAAGGTGACATAATTGTTCTAATCAGGTTTTCTGCCTTGTACACCAATACTTAGATGGCCAGAGAGTCATAAACAGTACTACAAGCCATGGGCTGGGGATTTAGCTCAGTGGTGTAAGCGCCTGGCAAACCATCGTCAAGAGTTCAATTCTGGGTATCAAAAAACAAAAAAATCAAAAAAACAAAAACCCAGTATCACAGGATGGTGCCAAAGAACCAGAAGGTATGTCAAACAGCAATTTCTCATCCCTAAATATTGAAGACAAGATTTGTAATAGTCTCAAAGCCCAAAAGTCAGCTATTCCTGGAAGATATCTCCAAGAAGTAGTCATTTCCAAAGGGTTGTCCATATTAGCAATAAAGATTCCTACCATAAACAATTTACAATGAATTTTTTAAAAAATGAGAAGACATGGAAACAAGTGCAACCCACACCCAGCTCACCAAAGACAAATCCATTGGGCAGTGAGGTGCAACAATTTGAAAGCCACCCACCTAGACTCTCTCAAGTGGTAACAGTAGAAGTATGACCTAGAATAGCAAAAACAATTCTGGGCAACAAAGACACGACAGGGGCCATGACTTGAAAGTATACTACAAAGCTGTCATGGTAAAAACAGCATGGTACTGGAAAAAAAAAAACCTGAGGATCAATGGAACAGATTAGAAGATACAGAAACAACTTCAAACTTCAGTCAACTACCTTATCTTTGACAAAGAAGCCAAACACCTTTACTGGAAGAAAGATAGCTTCTTTAATGGTGCTGGGAAAACTGGCTTTCCACATGCTGAATATTAAAAGACCCACCTCTTTCACCATGCACTAAAATAAAATCAAAATAAATTGAAGATCTAAATATTGACAGAAACATTAAATATGCTGTAAGACAGAATAGGTAATTTCTCAAAGACACTGGTTTTAGGCAAAGACTTTATGAACAAAATATCAATTGCACAGAAAATATCACATAAAATCAACAACTGGGACCTAATCTTATTAAAAAGCTTTTGTACAGCAAAAGAAACCTCAGAGTAAAGAGCCAAATCACAGTCTGGGAAAAAATTTTTGCCAGTTATTCCTCAAAGGTCCAATATCTAGAATACATAAAAGATGAAAAAAAAAAATCCTGCCCCAAATTTAAAGACCCTACCCAAAAATGGACATCTGAAATGAAGACACTTCTCAGATGAAGAAATAAAAATGGCAAATCAATATATGAAAGAAATATTCAATATCTCATTTGAGAGACACAAATTAAAACAACACTGAGATTCCATCTCACTCTAGAAAGAATGGCTATTATCATAAAATCAACTAATAACAAATGCTGGCAAGGCTGTGGGGAAAAGGAACCTTTCTACACTGGTGTAACCAGTATGGAAATCAGTATGGAAATGCCTGAAAAAGCCAAAACTAGAAGTTCCATAGAAACGTTCCCTTTTAATATCTTCCTGAAAGAATTTAAAGAATCATATCACAATGATATACGCACATTTGTGTTTATAGTGGCACAGTTTGTGATAGTTAAATCTTGGAAACAGCCCAAATACCTATCAACCAATGAACGGACAAAGAAAACATGGGGGTTTTTTATACAGTGAAGTACTACTCTACCATAAAGAAGGATAAATTTGAGACATTTTTAGGTAAGTGGATGCACCTTGAAACCATACTCTTAAGTGAAATGAATTGGACACACATACATGATTTCTCTGGTGTGAGAAACCAAAAGTGTAAAGAAAGACCAAAATGTATAGTAGGTATTGTGAAAGAGGAAGAAAATGTTCAAATGAGAAAGAGAATTAAGGAGGGGAGGGGAATGGAAAAGGAGAAAAGGAATAAAAGGAAAAAAAGGAAACAAAGCTTTTATAAACAAGGAGTGGAAAAAGGGCTGAAGGGAAGGGACAGAAAGAAAGAAAAAAGAATCAAGATACACAATCAAATTCCATATGACAAATTTTATCATTATATCTAAAATGTACTAACAAAATTTATTTTTTTAGAAATTCAAAAACATATATAACCGCAAAGGATATAGGCAATCAAAACAAATTTGATCCAGGTGTAGTGGCACATACCTATAATCCCAGCTACCCAGGACAGAGTTTGAGACCAGCCTTGATAACTTAGACACTAAAACAAAATAAAGTTTTCAAAGGTGAGGGTGCAGCTCAATGATACAGTGTTTTCCTAGCCTATTATACATAAAGGCCTGGATTTAATCCCTAGTACTGCAAGAAAAAAAAAAAACTGAAAGAAAAAAACAGTAAGACTTACTATAAAACTACAGTAACATTGGTATTGATAAGGACAGAAGAATAAATCAATGGGATAAAATACAGTCCACAATTACTGTAGATCCTTATGTCCTAGTCAGTTCAGGATGTGATAATAAAGTACCTTATGCCTGGTGGCTTAAAGCGAACAAAAATTTCTCAGTGTTGGGTGCTAAAAGTTTATAATACCAGTATGATCAGATTCTGATGAGGTCTCTCTTCTATGTTTGCAAATTATTTTCTTGTCCATTGTATCTTCAAATGGTAGAAAACAGAAAGTTCCCTGGAATCCATTTTTATAAAGGCACTAAGCCCATTCACAAGGGCTTTACTAATTATCCCTTATATGCAACACTATTTACCCCATCACATTGGGAGTTAGAATTATAACATGAGGGCCAGGGATTTAGCTCACTGGCATAAGCGCCTGCCTAGAAAGCGCAACATTGCGAGTTTGATCCCCAGTACCAAAAAAAAAAAAAAAAAAAAACCCACAAGAATTATAACATATGAATTTGAAGAAACATCCAGTCCAAAATATCAAAGAAAAAGGATATAGTTTTAGAACAATGTGGTATCTATTTAAACGAACCAGTACTTTTAAGTGCCATATACCAAATATTAACTAGA